GCGAGAGAAATCAGGTCAAATCAGGTCAACCGCTGGATTAACGATGAACTTGAGGAAACCCCCTCAAACTGTGGGTGAACTCAGAGACAGTGTAGCTTTGCATATCGGGGCGTACCAATAAAGACAGTAACAGACATTAAATACACGACTCTATATGAGTGGATCTTATCAAATAAACATCAGAGAAGGAAGAGACCTCCATGTGAACCCAAAGCTTATTGAGATTGGTATTAAAAAAAAAAAAAATCGCTTTTTAATAACCAATGCTGCCAATAAGCCTTTTGGGTTGCAACCATGGAGGTCTCCCTTCCTTGCTCCTGATGTTATTTTGATAAGATCCCACTCATGATAGAGTCGTGTATTTAATGTCTCGTTACTGTCTTTATTGGTACGCCCCGATAGTGCAAGACTAACACTGTCCTCTGAGTTCACCCCCCACCAGTTTGAGGGGGTTTCCTCCAAGTTCATCGTCTAATCCAGCGGGTTGACGCTGATTTGACTGATTTTTCCTCCCTCCGCTGTCCCTTGCAAGCCCACCTCCCTATCCGGCTCATGTACTTTTAGATTAAAGTACATTCAAGCCTGATCTAATCGTCCCCGGACTTTCACTTAATATCGCTGCTTAATAAAAAGCTCCTGTCAGTTACCATTCTAAAGTTACCTGTTCAATTTGTTGAATAAAACATAATCCAGTTTATTTAATGAGATACTGTAATCTGTGTTAAAGTTAACTTTAACACAGATTACAGTATCTCATTAAATAAACTGGATTATGTTTTATTCAACAAATTGAACAGGTAACTTTAGAATGGTAACTGACAGGAGCTTTTTATTAAGCAGCGATATTAAGTGAAAGTCCGGGGACGATTAGATCAGGCTTGAATGTACTTTAATCTAAAAGTACATGAGCCGGATAGGGAGGTGGGCTTGCAAGGGACAGCGGAGGGAGGAAAAATCAGTCAAATCAGCGTCAACCCGCTGGATTAGACGATGAACTTGGAGGAAACCCCCTCAAACTGGTGGGGGGTGAACTCAGAGGACAGTGTTAGTCTTGCACTATCGGGGCGTACCAATAAAGACAGTAACGAGACATTAAATACACGACTCTATCATGAGTGGGATCTTATCAAAATAACATCAGGAGCAAGGAAGGGAGACCTCCATGGTTGCAACCCAAAAGGCTTATTGGCAGCATTGGTTATTAAAAAGCGATTTT